TTAAAACAGGGCTGGGGATGTGGCTCAAGCGGTAGCGCGCTCGCCTGGCGTGCGTGCGGCCCGGGTTCGATCCTCAGCACCACATACAAACAAAGATGTTGTGTCCGCCGAAAACTAAAAAATAAATATTAAAAAATTATTAAAAAAATTTAAAAAAAAATCCATCAAAACACATGATGGTTTATTGGATATTTACTTGGACAGATATGATAAATCAGTATAATATACATTAAGATCTGAATCCAGGTGACAGATATGAGCTTCACTATAACATTCTTTTGGCACTGCAGCCAGGTGTGGTGGTGCAGTCCTGTCATCTCATGGACTCAGGAGGTTGAGGCAAGAGAATCGCAAGTTTGAGGCCAGCCTTAGCAACTTAGCAAGGCCATAAGCAACTTAACAAGAAAATCTTGTCTCAAAACAAAAAAGGAAAAAAATACATAAAAAGGGCTGGGAATGTAGCTCAGTGGTAAAATGTCCCTGGGTTCAATTCCCAGTTAAAAAAAAAATCTTTTAACATTGCTCATGTTCTCAAACACTGTTTCACTGTTTAATAAAATGTTAAGGGGGAAAAAGTATACTTATAAGTACATATATTATTTTTGATCATTAACAAATCTAACTTAATATCTAATTTGTTACTTACTTTCCTCTATAACAAAGATATTCTCCTTGTATTGTATGATCAATTAGATAATTATTTGTTTTATATTAGCTGGTTTATAATCATTATTATTTTAACCATTTGGAGTAAGTCTGACCTAATTTCAACAGAGTACTTAATTTTTATTCCACACAACAATAGGAATTTAAGTATGTCTGACCTAATGCCAACTTAAAATAAAAGCCTGTTCATGGGCTAGAGTTGTAGCTCAGTGGTAGAGTGCTTGACTAGCATGTGTGAGGCACTGGGTTCGATTCTCAGCACCACATATAAATAAATAAATAAATAAAATAAAGGTTCATAAAAAATGATTCAAAATTTAAAAATAATTTTTAAAAAGTCTGTTTGTGTATCTACTTCTATAACCACACATACCATAAAGAATTAACTGGGAAAAAAAATCGGGCACTGAGTATCCTCAGTGCTCTCTCTAAATATAAGACATTCTAAATGGAAGAAAATAAGTATTAGCTTATTTGAAAAATGCAAAATTTCTTGAGTAAAATTTCAATGCCAGGTGTGGGGTACATGCTTATAACCCCAGCTATTCCAGAGCTTAAGGCAAGAGGACGCCAAGTTAAAGGCGGCATAGGCAACTTAGTGAAACCCAGTCTCAAAGTAAAAAATAAAAAATCAAAAGGGATGGGGATGTATCTAGGTGGTAAAGAGCCTCTGGGTTCACATTCTAGTAGTGCTGAAAAACAAAAAGCTTAGAACAAACCACACTGGTAGCACATGCCAATAATGCCAGCTACTCAGGAGTCTGAGGAAGGAGAATTGAGAGTTTGAAGTCAGTCTAGCAATTTAGTAAGACCCTCTCTCAAAAAAGATAAATAATCCTATGACACATAACCTTCCCTAGTACCCATTATCTTTTAAAAGTAAAAAATGAGCTAGGTGAGCCAGGCACATTGGCACACGCCTGTAATCCCAGCAGCTTGGGAGGCTGAGACAGGAGAATCTCAGTTCAAAGCCAGCCTCAACAATGGTGAGGTGCTAAGCAACTTAGTGAGATCCTGTCTCTAAATAAAATACAAAATAGAGCTGGGGATGTGGCTCTGTGGCTGAGTGCCCCTGAGTTCAGTCCCCATATCCCTTCCCAAAAAAAAGTGCTAGGTGAGGTAGCACATGCCTATAATCCCAGCGACTTGGGTGGCTGATACTGGAGGATCAAAAGTTCAAGGCTGGCCTTGGCAATTTAGCAAGATCTTGCTCAAAATAAAATATGCTCTTGAAAAGAGTTGGAGATTAGCTTAGTGGTAAAAGTACCCTGGGTTCAACCCCTAGTACCGAAGGTGGGGATAAAAAAAAAAAAAAAGTGTGTTCATGTGTTCAGGGATAAAAAAAAAAAAAAGTGTGTTCATGTGTTCAGTAACTTGCCCTCATACCTCAGAACAAAGTTATAAATAATCAGAGTAGGTTTTAGGTCTTTACCATCTGCCCCACAACCATCACCTTTTACTTGAAAGAATGAGAAATCATAGTTAACTGTCTGGGAAGCTGTTTCAAAAGCACCTACACTTTACCAAAAGCAGATAGTATAGATTATACCTGATAAGCAACCTTGTGAACAATGTCACTTTAAATTATAGAGAACAGAACAAATGCAAGCTTAAACCACAATTACATCCCTACATACAAATCCTGCTTAAAAGACTTGTTAACTTAAGCCTACCCTATTCTCTACAAGTATAGCTTTTTAAAAAATCTCTTTAGGATTTTAAAAACAAGTGCATGATTTTTATTTAGAAAAAATATAGGAATATTCACTTTTAAATGTTTTTGTCTATTCAAAACAAATTTTCACAAAGTTACTGCTACTAGTTAAAATATATAATTAGAAATGCCTGATATTTATCTTTGTGAAAGTTGCTGACAAACATTATATCAAAAAAAAAAAAAAACTTGAAAATATCTACTATAGAAGTATTTAGACTATCATAGAATAATGAGTCAAATATCTGAGATAGGCCCAGCAAGCTTCTAGGTGAAAAGAAATAGGTATTTACAATGGTATTTACTTGGGGGTGGGGGAATTTCGTTTGTGGGGAAATGGAAACCTTACAAGCACTTTACCTTTTTCTTATTTATCCTCAGATAATGCTGTCAAATCTACTTATTTGGAAACAAATCATTCTTTTATTTCTCTTTTTCCACTTATGACTCATTAGCATATCCAAATTTTACTCAGTTTATTAAGTACATATATGATACCATACTGAATGCAAATACATACACACAAGGTATGATAGGTAATGTTTAATTTAACATCAGTAAATAAAGTGAATTTATCCAAATTTCACAGATCATACTGATCCTGTATAAAGCCTTGGTTTCTAACATTATGCACACCACATTCCATTTTAATTATAACATTCATCTACAGAAAAACAAATAAAACAATTCAAAACTATGTTAGTAATTAGTGCTTGTTTGGTCCATTGTATGCAATCAGGAAAGTACAGGACTTAATTAGTTGCTACCAAATTGAAGCAATGAAAAAAGGTTAAAAATTAAAGTACTTAAAATAAAAATATGGAATTACCCCCCTCCCCAATACTAAAGGGACACAAAACAACAACTACTGTCCCACCAAGCAAAAGTGGAAAACAAACAGCATGTGTGTAACCTCACTTACCATCTTTTTGTTATTCTACTTCAACAGGTCAAGAAAGGTGAAGAAAGAGAAGGTAGAAGTAAGAGTCAGAAAAGGCCTAAATAAAATCCTCACTGAAATTTTTAAACATACAAGCAACAGAGACAAATTAGGTTGAGGTCAGATGCAGTACTACTATATTTTATGGAGTTAATAATTAGGGCCAAATTAACATGGACAGTTATTACTCCTGAATGAAAATTAACTAAACAAATAATTTAAATTTCTATTTTTTTAGTCTACCATCACATTTTAGCTAACAAGACACACAAATATAAGTCTATCTACAAAGCTCAGAAATTCCAAAAAGTCAAGTTTCTTTAATTCATTACTGAATTTAAGAACTTTAAGGAATACAAATGACAACAGCAAAGATATAGTTGAGTAAGTAGGTAGAAAGGTAGATGGTTCAGAGTTGTTTGTCCAAGCTGTAGTATTCAAATTACATTTGACACTGGTCTCTTTGTTTTCTATTTGAAAATACCGTTCAACTTGAAAGTAAGAGTGAAAAGAACCAAGCCAAAAGAACACAGAACCATTTAGCAAATACTAGGGAATTTTCTGGCAAAAATGTTTTATTGGAATATCAATGAGTTTGATTTCTATCACTTGGCCTTAAAAAGCAAGAAAGTGGGCATGAAGAGATGTGTAATTATTTATGCCTATGTTGAAGAATAAAAATGGCTATACACAATGTATCTTATGTCTCAAAAATTTTATTGTTCATAAGGAATATAAAAAAGACAGAAACTAAATTAAAATTTATTTCCAAACAGCAATTTGTTTTTATTACTATTTTTAGATAAATTTCAAGCTGAAGTTCATTTATGATAGAATGCAACCAAAATGGAAGGCGTTCACAAAGAGAATGAGAAATTCCATATATTTCCCTGAAGAAAAGACCCTTTTTCAAAAAGCCTTATACTGAGTGTGCCATTTTAATTTGTGTAACATAAAAGAGGCCAGAAATTACCATTTTGTCTTTAAAAAATATAGAACCTACATTTCCGTTTGTATTTTTATTAACAGTGTAACTCGATTCTCTAATCCCAACAGTAGAGGCCTACCAAGTAGAAAATTTCTACCACCTATTATCACCTCCCTAAATATTTTACACAAATGTCCCAAGAGGTACACCCTCATATTTCAAATGATTCATAACCTAACTGTTCACTGAATTCTTGCCAAGGACTATCCTGAAAAGATCAGCAATATTAGTGTATTCACAAAGGATTCACTAAAAAAGTCCTTCGATTCTACTGCATTCTGTATAATTTAATCCCTAAGCCACCTGAAGGATTTAAATTCAATTGGTGACCACTGTCCTTTTTAATTCTCTTCTAGTTCTTTCTTTCTTCTAAGATAATGTAATTCCCATTTGGTTTTTAATCCTTTGGGAGAAAGATCTCTCATCCTTAATGTGGAGTCTCTAGTGGTTATGTATAGTGAGTAGGCAATGACAACCCGGCTTCTTTTCCTTATGGTAAGATAAACAGTGCAAGGCCAAAAGATTGGCACAGGTTCCTCCAGCACATTATGGAAAAAGTTATTTTATTAGTGAAAAGAGGGATCAATGGGATTCACATTCTGTGTTTTCCTGACTACATAAAAAAAGTAGGGGGATCAGATCATGAAAACATGGGGGAAAAAAGACTAAAGTCCCAAAGAGACACTAAAATATATTCAATTGAAAGACATAAAATTATCAGGCTCATTGTTTTAAAAAAATTAAATTATGTAATAGGACTTTAAGTTACTGATTGTGTTTTGCATCAATGTAAAAAAAAAAAAAAACTTAAGTATTATACTCTAGACACTAATGGCATTGAGCCATACATAAACAAAATTACATTAAATTAACTTCAGTTTTTGTGCCTTTGTTCAGGTGTTAGTATAAATTAAAAATGAGAAATTCTTCCCTCACCCTTTGCTTTTCCTGGCATCATATTTTAAAACAATTCAAAAAACATCTCACAGGTCTTGATGTTACTTTAACAATAAATAAAAATATTACCTTGATTTCAATGTTTCCCACTTTGGTGGTTGATCTGATAATAGGTCTTCCAACCAAAGCTGGGAAGATGTGTTCTGGAAAGTTAGAGCCTGCATATCCACACTTCACAAACTGGAAGGAAAGAGTAAAAGTGGGTTAGGATCAAGGTATTTACTATATGCATCTAAAAACATTATCTGAAAAACACCACTTTGTGTTCATACATTATTTTACACTTTCAGTGCTTTCAAACCACCTACTCTATTTCCAGCAGCATCTCCTTTCACTTCTTTCATGGCACTACTTCCTGCGTTCGAGCTTATTTATCAGTTAATTGCTTACTCAGTATCTAAAAGCCCCCACTAAGAAAAGGCCCACAAGAGCAGGGAGCTAAGATGAACATTTATTTCATGCTGGAACCTGATGTTTAAAGAAGCCTTGGCACACAGTGATCATTTTTGGCTTCTTACATTTTTATATTTAAGTAAATATGTTTAATAATATCCAATAACTTAATTTTGGGCTGGGGATGTAGCTCAATGGTAGAGTACTTGCCTACCTAACATATGAAAGGCCCTGAGTTTAATCCCCAGCACCACACACACATACACACACACACACACACACACACACACAAAAGCAACATAATTTGGGCTGGGTTGTGCCTCAGAGGTAGAGCGCTTGCCTAGCATGAGGCACTGGGTTTGATCCTCAGCACCACATGAAAATAAAATAAAGGTACTGTGTTCATGTACAACTAAAAAATAAATGTTAAAAAAAAGCAACATAATTTCACATTCAGATAGTGTACTTCTTCAAGGGCACATCACTAATTCTAATATTTCTATCTTAGAAACTGGTATTTTAAGAGGTTCAACGATGACAGCAAAACTTAGAACCAAGGATTTTTAATATTAATAACATAATTTTTCTTAAGAGCAGGCACTGCACTGTTAAGAAAAAGACAATTAAGGGCTGGGATTGTGGCTCAGCGGTAGAGCACTCGCCTAGTACGGGCGGGACCCGGGTTCAATCCTCAGCACCACATAAAAATAAAGGCATTGTGTTGCGTCCATCTACACCTAAAAAATAAATATTAAAAAAAAGAAAAAGAATTAAAAATCATAGGGTGTGACAATACATGCCTGGATATCAGATACTCAGGGAAGCTGAGGCAGGAGGATTCCAGATTCAAAGCCAGCCTGGGCAACTTAGTGATACCTTTTCTCAAAATAAAAAGGGCCAGGAATATAGCTCTTTATTAAGAGTGCCCTGGCTTCAATTTCCATACCACAAAAAAGAGAAAAAGAAAAAAATTCAGGGTGGGAGAAGGAAGCTATATTAAGAAAGGAAATATAGCCAGGCATGGTAGCACATGCCTATAATCCCAGCAGCTCAGGAGGCTGAGATAGGAGAATCGCAAATTCAAAGCCAGACTCAGCAACTTAGCAAGACCCTGTCTCAAAATAAAAATAAAAAGGATTGGGGATGTGACGCAGATGTAGCACACTCCTGGGTTCAATCTTTGGTACCAAAAAAAATCTGTATCTATACATGATATCTGTACTGAAAATGAACACATTTTTGTCATTATTCCATAAAATTCTTTACACTGTATTAGGTATTCTAAGTAATCTAGAGATGATTTAAAGTATATAGGATATTTGGAGGTCATATGCAAATATTATGCCATTTTATGTAAGGGCCCTTAGTGGGCAGGGGAGAGGCAGAGCAGAGGAAGAGGCAGAGGGAGAAGGAGAATGTGTCTATTCCCTGAAACTAATCACCTGTGGATACCCAGGGATGGCTATGTATTTAATATTCAGAAAGAATCTATTGTACTATAGCACCAAGCACCATATACTTCTCAATTAGGATGAAAGTACCTGGATATGATACACACAGAATAATACAAAGGTGCAAATAAAATATTAATGTATCAGGGACAGGAAGCAACTATGTACAAGGAATTGTTCTGTTTGATGTGGTAAAATTTAACAACATCCTAAACTCACTGACTTTTGACTAACCCTCCAAAATATAAAATATCTTCAAATATCTTTACAGCAACCTGTTGAAAATGATGCTGATGAACCATATTTAACTATAAATAACCTGGAACATTCTGCCATCACAATTTTACTTGTCTTTTAAATGTTAAAATTATGATTCAAACAGATTGAAATTTTATGAAAAAATCTGTCTGAAATTAGGAAATTTCATATTCCCAATATCACCTTAATTTCTGTCCTTGTACTTTAAGCTTAATTTTAGAACTTAAATAAAACGCACTGTTCATATGCCTTCTGCTAAATCCACAAAACCTAGTCCTCGTCAGTTTACCATTAAGCTACATATATGCATATTTCAAATATAGCTACCCATTTCTGAAAGTATAATACTGTATACATTTTTTTGGAGGGGGGTACCGGGGACTGAACTCAGGGGCACTAAACCCCTGAGCCACATCCCCAGTCCTATTTTGTGTTTTATTTAGAGACAGTGTCTCACTGAGCTGCTTAGTGGCTTGTTTTACTGAGGCTGGCATTGAACTTGCAATTCCCATCTCAGCCTTCGGAGCCTCTGGGATTACAAGCGTACGCCACCAGGCCCAGCTATACTATACAATTCTTATGGGTCACCTTTCAAGACAGAAGTTAATGTGAAATGAAGGCATATGTAATAGGTAACCTGCTTGCTCATATCCACCTCCACATTTGACAGTGGTTAATAATGAAGAACATATTTTCCATTTCAAAGAAGTGTTAAGCAAAATTCAGGAGAACTTATTCATTTTTCCACATCTTCTTAAGTAATTTATTAATGTGACCAAGAAAGATTTGAAGGAACAAATACCACAGAGGAAAAAAATAATACCTAGTAGTTTTTAGTAGTATGTTTGAATTAAAAGGAAAAAAAAAAAACAAAAAAAAAATCTCTCTTAAATCACAAACTCTCTTTTGTCCTTAAATCAAAATAGAGTTCACCTGAACAAAAATGATATGAGAAGGTAGAAAAAGTATTATAGTTACCCCAACCAAATCCACATTTCAGTATAAATAAAATGTGGGCCTCCTGGTACTTACCAAAGGCTGTGTCCTTACACTGACTATACAGAAAAAGAGGCAGATTAAACCTATCCTATATACATCTCAGTCCAGGCCCTATGCCTGATCTGTACTGTGAATGGGGGGTGGGGGGGCACGGAGTTAAGAAAAAAACACTGCTCAAAATTCTTACATCTCACCTCAAAGTAATGAAAAAATGGGTGGGTCAAAAGTACCCATTCATCTGACTAAAAATGCTCACTTAACATAGATATAAATGTTCTCAAAGAAAATTAGACAATGAATGACTGAAGAGAAAATCTATAAGTTTATAAGAGCTGTTTCCTGCATATTAAATATATGATTTATATTTATTATATTATTAAATGAGAAATCATAACAGAAGTTGAAGGTGGGAGGAGGAGCCTAAAACAGAGCTTAAGTAAACCCTGGTGTACAAAAGAGACTCCTAAGGTTGACATGCCCCTCATTCCGAGCCACATACACACAGTGGAAACAAGAACATGGCACAGTGGCAAAAAACACACCAAGATTTTCTGATAATAACTGTTCGGATGGGTAGCTCATATCTTAATTCTTGAGTCTACTTCAAGTGACAAAAAATTGTCAAGTACCTTAAAACAAAAACTGAGATCTGAAACTACAGATACAAATGTAAACTCATTTTAACTGCTTTACAAAAATTTTTAAAAAAAGAAGGAAAAAGAAAAGAAGATTTGGCTTTTCAAATTAAAGATATCAAATTAAAACTATATAAGTAATAGCTTACTGAAAGCAGATGCTATCTTAGAATTCAGTGCTAGCATTCCCAAAGAGTATTTGGATACTCCACCAAAATAAGTAGAAACCGTACTACTTCACATTACTTCAAATGTGAATGCATTAATAATTCATAAGGAAATAATTTAATAATCCATTTGTCGATAACCAACAATCTGCCTATACCTTTCTTACAAAAAAAATGACATTTAAAAATTCTAAACCATGACATGATAAAATGCAAAGAAATTATTTTTTATAGACCATTCACTTGGTTTCATTTTAAGCCTTGAAATTCCTCCCCCATGTAAATCAAAAATGACTTGGTGACTTAGTTCTCTCATTGTGTGCAAAAGGTTGTGTTTAAGAAATAGATTTTACCATATATAGTTTCCTCTTCATAGTGTGTGGTTTAAACTGGCTCTCTTACTTCCCACTGAGTCATCAAATGGTAAGAGCACGAGCAGGGAAATGTTCCCTCAGGCAAAAATGAAGAATAATCCCAACCACATCTGTTCTAAAAGTACCTTTTTCCTTTAAAAAAAAAAAAAAAGGTGGGAGAGGGATTCGGGCTTATTGACTTTATATTTTTCCCTTACTAATCTGATGGTTTGGGGGTATTAATTATATAAAAACTTCTTAGGCCACCAAGATATTTTTTTTATTTATTGCATAGCATTTGCAGGATGAAAGCAAAATTTCTGATCTGTTTCTATTTCAAACATTCCTAAATTCAACATATAAATTAGCATAAATCTGATAAAGCAGGTCACAAGCAACTATGAATCTGAATTATAAATGAAAATATAATCATTCTAGCATTGTAAGCTTCTCTGTATCATTAGATCTTATTAAACTCTGTGCCAGTAACAGCACTTAAAAGTCTTCATTTTGTTCATAAATGAACTCACTGATGAAATCACTCAAGTTTGGTAACAGGATACACAATACTAGTGATCTAGGCCCAACTATAAAGGGACCAAAACCTAGTGCTTCACAGATTTCCAAATTCTGGCCTCCCTGGCCACTTGCAGTGACTCTATTTTAGAAAGCAGGTTTGAATGATTAAGGTTGAAAGTCAATTTTTCTTTCTTTCTTTTCTTTTTTTGAAAAGTGTATAAATTATTGAAATCAGATGAGTTTCCCTCCCCTAGGCCACCCTAATGAGACACTAGTCTAGCTGGGGGGTAATGAGGAAATGCAGCAGGGCCTCATTAAGTTATTAAACCAACATCTGGCATATGGTCAAAACAATGCACCTACTTTTACATCATTCAATTCTGGGACTGTTAGTGGAGTTTTAAAAAATTGACATCTAGAAATGTAGTTCAGTAGTAGAGTGCTAGTCTAGCATGCCTGAGGCCCTGGGTTCAACACAGAATTCCAACTCATATAGCCTAAAATTTTAAAACCTAAACCCCACCTCCCATTCCAGTGCTAGGATATTGAACCCAGGGACTCACACATAGTAGGCAAGTGCTCTACACTGATCTACATCTCCAGCCCTTAAAATCTAAACCTAAAGTAAATAAGGGCTAATGAAAACACTTTAGAGTAACAACTATTTCCAAGAAGTTTTTAAAAATTAAATCTGAATAAATTATTTAACTGTAAAATAACCATTATAACTTCAGGTATCCAAACAAAACAAGATGTTCATTCATGTCCAGAAGTATAATTAGAAACAGAATATAGACTCTAAGTGGTTCCTAATCCTCTTAAATTTTCTTAAGTATCACAGCATTCCTGATTTGCATATGATTTACATATTATATCCGAGCTGTTTCTTCATTTTCAGCCAATCATGTTTATAGAAAACATGGATAAAATTTGTAAGTAACTACAACATCAAATACATAAATCTTTGTTTAAATTAATTATACTTTTTCATTTACATCATGCTAAGAGATCTTTTATCCTAAAGAGCAAGATTTTAAAATTATGGATTATACATAAGACTAGCAAATGCATACAATCAGCTTTCTAATGTTAGCTAAATTAATGAAACAGTAACATAAAAATTAGCTTGCAGTTAATATTTACACATTTTTTATTTTTTGGTGTGTGTGTGGTACTGGGTATTAAACCCAGGGTCTCAAGCATGCAAGGTGAGCTTGCTCTACCACTGAGCTACATCCCTAGCCTTTTTATTTTTTCATTTGAGATGGTCTCACTAAACTGCCCAAGACAGCTTCGAACTCCAAGGTTCAGGTAATCCTCCTGCCTCAGCCTCCTGAGTATTTGGATTACAGGTGTGCCTACCACAGCCAGCAGCAAACACTCCTATTCTAAATGAACATCAAAAACTCCACTGGTGGCAGCTCCTCCCAGCAGCTCAGGAGGCAGAGACAGGAGGATCGGGAGTTCAAAGCCAGCCTCAGCAATTTAGTGAGGCACTAAGCAACTTGGTGAGATCTTGTTTCTAAATAAAATACAAAATAGGGCTGGGATGTGGCTCAGTGGTCCTGAGTAACCCTCCCTCCCCCAAAAAACCCCACTGGTAGCTGGGCAAGGTGGCACACACCTGTAATCTCAGAGGCTTGGGAGGCTGAGGCAGGAAAATCCCAAATTCCAGACCAGCCTAGGCAGCCTAATGAGACCATCTCAAAATTAAAATAAAAAGGGCTGAGATGAAGCTCCAGAGTTACAGCACTTGCCCACACACGTGAGATCCCGGGTTCAATCCCCAGTACTGTAAAAAATAAGGTAAACTTCCTCATACAGAGGCTAAGGGTATAGCTCAATGGTACAGCAATTAGCTAGCATGTGTAAAGCCCTGGGTTTAATCCCCAGCACCACAAGCAAAAATCGCACATACATGTACCCATACTACAAATACAGGGTACCTCAGCTATATCCCTCAAAGAAAAAGAATCCATTAAAAAGAGAGTGCCTGACAGAGTCACAAAGTACTGTAAATTCACTTGAAAAGTATTAAATTTATATAGAGGTTCAATTTGATACTATGGTGGTTATTAAGCTTATGGGTTTTTTTTTTTTTTTTGTGTGTGTGTGTGTGTGTGTGTGTGGTTTTGTTTGTTTTGTGGTGCTAGAGATTGAACCTGAATCTCTGCCGTGTTAGGCAAGTGCTCTACCACTGAGCCACATCCCCAACCATGAGCTCATGTTTGCTTGTAATCCCAGTGGTCTGGGAGGCTGAAACAGGAAGATCACAAGTTCAAAGCCAGCCTCAATAACTTAGTGAGTCCCTAAGCAACTTATCGAGCCCCTGTTTCAAAATAAAATATAAAAAACACGGTAGAGATGTGGCTCAGTGGTTAAACACCCCTCGGTTCAATCCCTGGTACCAAAGGGAAAAAAAAAATTCATGTTTTTTTTTTTTAAATGCACCTTTACTGTAGTCTTTTAAAATGCAGTTTTAACTGCTAAGGTAATATATGTATGTAATTAAATTAGTTTAAATATAATAACATGCTTTGTTAAAATAAACAAAACACTGGGGCTCGGGATGTGGCTCAAGTGGTAGTGCGCTCGCCTGGCATGCAGAAGGCACTGGGTTCGATCCTAGGCACAACATAAAAATAAAATAAAGATATTGTGTCCCCCTGAAACTAAAAAATAAACATTAAAAAAAAAGAACTTTTTTCCAATTATTCAGAGAATTTATGAAGTTCTCTCCTCTCACCTTACTCTTTTATTCCTTGTCCCATAGATAACTTATAGAATTTCAAGTATCCTTCCAAAACTTTCATATATAGACACAAATTTGTGGGCATACAAATATATTTAATAAAGAATACACATAAATGGGTTCATTCTAAAACTTTTTACCTTAATAAATTTTAGACATTTCCCTACAAGTGGATCTGCCTCCCTTTAAAAAATTATTTTATATAAATGACCTGTTGCATTATAACATTCTTCTTACCCTGGCTCATTTTTTTTTTTTTTTTTAGTATTTTTTAGTTTTAGGTGGACACAATATCTTTATTTTATTTTTATGTGGTGCTGAGGATGGAACCCAGTGCCTCATGCATGCTAGGCGAACACTACCACTGAGCCACAACCCCAGCCCTCTTGTCCATTTTTAACAGTTCAGAAGAACCTAGTATAATTTTTATTTGTAGAAGTCTATAACAAATCCAGTGGGGGCTGGGATGCACACAAAGCCCTGGGTTCATCCCCAGTTCCAAAAACAAACCAAAAAACAAATCCAATCAAGGGCAAGATTATGGCAGTAGATGCCAGCTCTAACCCCCCACCAACAATCCAATTTCTTTTTTTTTTTTAATTTGTTAGTTGTAGTTGGACACAATACCTTTATTTCACTTATTTATTTTTATGTGGTGCTGAGGATCGAACCACAACCCAGCCCCAACAATCCAATTTCCATAAATGAAATTGAGGATAATGAAAAGTGATAGCACTTAAACCAAATACAATTTGTTTTAAAAATCTAAAAGAAAATATAATTTCCAAAGTGTTTTAAAGTTCGACTTAAACCCATTTTAATTCATTATATGTCACATTACATACGTGGGAAGGGGGGAATCACAAAATTTGCAACACTAAAATAGAAATTACTATAGAACGCATCCAAAATAATTAAAGGGGGGGGGGGTGAAAAGAAATCACTTTCAAAGAGTTTCTAAATTAATGCTTTCCTCGGATTTTTACAATTAGAATCTTCAAGACTGAACATCTGTATTCTGTACTTAAAGGGGAGAGAGAAGGAGGAACTAAAACTGATTAACTTCCCCAAGTCAGTGGAATTAACACTCAGACCTCTCAAATCATCCCATGGAACATGCTCGCTGGTCTCTTCGAGGGTGCACTAGGACCAAACTATCACATGCAGAATAAAAAGCAATAGATACACTGCCGATCTGGTTTCCCTTTCTTTCAAGACAGGTAGAAGGAAGAAAAAGCAAAGAACAAACCCTAAAGAAGCACTACGAAAGGGCTGAGGCCAATTTCATGATAGCACTTCCTTTTTTTTTTTTTTTTTTTTTTCTGCTTCCTGCCTCCCATTCGGTATCTACAACCTTACAGGAAGAGGAAGGCCTCTAGGTCTTTCTCCTTTTTACACACCGGCGAGTCTGAGAAATGGAACCCTTCTCGATTGCACAAACTCAAGTCTTTTACCCAAACCTTAGGCTATTTTGGCCAAACTGCTCCGGCTAGAGAATCGAGCCGGCCCCCTCGGGACAGCAGGTGGGGGTCAGGGTCCAGTGCCGGTCTCGCTACCGCTCAGACCTGGGAAATTACGGGGGTGGCGGGTCTGGAGCCGGACCCGCTTGCTCCCACGCCCATGGAGACGGGAGGCTCCATTCGCCATTCGCCACTCGCCCCCCTTCACCCCAGAGGCCCAGACGTGCAGCCCCAGGCACCGAGGAGCCCCGTACATCCTTGTCCGGGCCTCTGGCCACCGCGGACTCCTCGCCCGGCACTTACCCCGGTTCCGTTGTCGCACACCACCACCTTCCTGCCCTGGCTATCCATCGTCCACCCCAGGGAGAGCCGCCGCCGCAGCCGCCGCCGTCTCACAACCTACAGCCGTCGCCGCCCGGCCCTGGCCTCTTCCTTCTCCCTCTCCGTGGCCCCTCCTTCGGCCTAACTTTCTTCCCCCGACCGGAAGTTGCCGCCCGGCCCCGCCCGCCACTTAGAGAACAGACTGCGCGGAAGGGGCGGGACAGAACATAGGAGGTCGCGACTGGCAGCAGTGAAATCCAATAAGAAACGGCTCCTCCAGGTCGCCTGTCAGGTGGCCGCGCCCGGGTGTTCTTCACCTCTTCTATAGTTCCCTGTGATCTGCTTGACGCTAATGGCGGCCGGCGTCGGGGATGCTGCGGATCTCTCCTTAAGATGTCGCAGGAGTTAAGGGCGCGGTTTCACGGACTGCAGAAGAGGCAGGCAGGTGAAGAACACCGGGTCTGCCGCGAGGTGGCAGTGGAATGTGGCGGAGAAGCCAGCAGGAGAGCGGGGAGCGAACCTGGAGGTCCTTGGTCCCTGCCTACCCCAACCATCGAATGTGCCTTGGTGTGTCATTGCTTCTAGGCCTTTTCAGTCCACAGAGCTGGGATGGATACACACCCACACTTACTTGAAATCACGCCTTGATTCAATACCTCCGGTTCCATACCAGCTCTTCTTTGCCCAAACTCCCTGAGGTCAACTGAGCGAGAGTGGTTGCCTAAGTTTTCAGCCTCTTCGCTCCCCACTTCCCTCTTCAAATAGCCCCACGTTGCTCACATATCTTAAGTATATGTACCTATTTGAACCCAGAGCCTCCACTTTGACATCAGACTACCCCAATTTCAGGTGTGGCCCTGCCAGTCAAGAGTTTTGTGTTGTGGGTAAACCCAAGGTCTGTTCAAAAGGATGATAACCTCTACCTCCAGGGGGTGATTATGAGAATAAAATTTTGTGCACAAAAGCAAGCATTTATTCTGTGGCAGCATTATTATTATTATTATTATTATTGAACCTATCTGTAATGCTCCTGGTTTCTCCTTTTAATCAATGGATACAGACTTCTCAGGCTCCAAGACCCAACTTGTTACATCTCTCTGATGGCTTTGCTGATAACCTCCACATGTTCTTCTCTCCCCTTCCTTGTCATTACTTTATCATGAATATGTGAATAACATTATTGTATTTATTACATTCAACAAATATTTATTGAACGAATAACATTAACATTCACATAAAAAAGTGTCATTGAGTCATTGAGAACTAGAATTCTGCCTTCCACATGGCTATACGTGTAGGACAATTAGAATAAAACTTGTATTATGAACTTCCAATCCAGTATTCTTTCTACAGTAGTAGCAGCCTCTCACTTTTCACTTTTATTAGACCAGTGGTTTTCAAACCTTTCTAAAGGCATAGAGTACTTTATTCAAATTGGATCATACATAGATCCCAACACATAATATAGATTCTAAAAGTTAACTTGCCATAATTGTAGTTGAAAGTTTGAGAGTTTAGGATGGGTATTAGGTCTTGGGAACATTTTTCCCTTTCACTTGCTTCCATAGTCCTTGAGGTACCTCTGCCTGCTATTCTATACATTGGTTCAAAATTTCTTTGAGTGGGGGCTGGGGAGTGGCTCAAGCATGCTTGCAGCCCCAGTTCCATCCTCAGCACCACATACAAACAAAGATGTTGTGTCCACCGAAAACTGAAAAAAAAAAAAAATAAATATTAAAATTCTCTCTCTCTCTCTCTTTAAAAAAAAAAAATTTTTTTTTCTTTGAGTATATTGTCCTTATCTTACTTTTGTGGTCCCAATTCCTAGCATTGTGCAGTTTTCCTGGAAGTACATTTAATTGGTCTCAGTAAATTAAAGTCAAGCCTTTCTGTATTTATTTATTTATTTATTCATTTATTTTTGGGTACTAAGGATTGAGCTCAGAGGCACACCACCAGTGAGCCACATTTTCAACCCTTTTTCTTATTTTGTTTAAAGACAGGGTTTCACTGAGTTGCATGGCACCTTGCTTTTTGCTGAGACTGGCTTTGAACTCACAATCCTCCTGTCTCAGCCTCTGGAGCCTTTGGGATTACAAGCATGCACCACTGCACCCTGCTAGGCCTTTCTGTATTCTTATACTTTTCCTTTTTATGGAATTAAGTGCATTATTTTTACTTTTTGAGAAAAAAAAAACAACATTATTTTCTTCTTATTAGAGAAACAGAACATAAAATAATAGAAAACAGAGAAAAACGTATTTTCAGTACCCTACTAAAAATTCATCAAAACACTGTGATCACGCAAAATCAGATATAACACCTCATAGGGTATATAATCTGGCGTATACCATCTACACCAAGTTCATCCTAGTTATTTTGCTTTCTTCACAATAATGTGGTAGAGGGCTTACCTAGCATGCATGAGGCCCTTGGTTTGATCACCAGTATAGGGAGAAAAAAATTCCAGAAGAAAACATGAGAAAAAAATGTTTTTGTATTGATTTAAGCAAAGATTGCTTAGCTACTGACACCAAATCATGATCTACAAAAGAAAAAATTAATACTTAATAGAAAAGTAAAACTTTTAATTCATAGATCAAACAAAGAAAAGCCATAGAATAGGATAAAATATTTGCAAGTCATATATCAGCAAAAGATTTGTATCCAGAATAAATAAAGAACATTTGCAACTTGATAAGAATACAAAATATAGGCTGGGGTTATAGCTCATTTGGTAGAGTACTTGCCTCACATGCACAAGGCCCTGGGTTCAATCCCCAGCACCACTAAAAAAAAAAAAAAAAAGAATACAAACTATAGCCAGCTGTAATGGTACACACTTATAATCCCAGCTACTTCAGAGCCCGAGGCTGGAGGATCGCTAGTTCAAGGCTGGCCTCACATGTTTGAGGCAAGTGCTGTACCACTGAGCTACAACCCCAGCCCCACATTGACTTTTTATTGTTGTTGTTTTTTCTTTCCCCAGTGCTGCGAACCAAATCCAAGGCTTCACACATGCTAGGCAAGCACTCTGCCACTGCGTTACATTCCCAACCCTTTTTGTTTTCTTTTTATTTTAAGAAGGGTCTTAGCTGGGAATGGTGTCACATGCCTATAATCCTAGAAGCTTGAGAGGCTGAGGCAGGAGTATCTTAGTGAGGCCCTAAACAACTCGGCGAGATCCTGTCTCTAAATAAAATATAAAAAAGGGCTGGAGGGGCTAGTATAGCTCAGTGGTAGAGCACTTACCTAATACATGTGAGGCCCTAGGTTTGATCCTCAGCACTGCATAATAATAAATAAATAAATAAATAAATAAATAAATAAATGTATTGTGGCCATCTACAACTAAAAACATTACCAAAGAAAGGGCTACAGATGAGGCTCAGTAGTTAAACACCCATAAATTCAATCCCCAGTACCCCAAAGCAGAAAAAAAAGAAAAAGACAGGGTCTCACTAAGTTGCTGAGGCTGGCCTTGAACTTGCAGTCTTCTTGTTTCAGTCTCCTGAGCTGCTGGAATTACAAGCATGCACCACCATGTCCAGCTTCTTGCTTGCTTTTAAATGTTCTGTGTACATAATTACATCTCAGGACTGGAAGGAAATAATCTGAAGAGTTACTGTATGTTCTATAATTTAATAGCTTTAATTTTTCATGTAATAATCAATTTAGTTATTATCTTAACCTTTTACTGTGGAAACTTCACATGCTCATAAAAGTAAAAAAAAAAAAGTATAGTATAATTGGGCTGGGAGTATAGCTCAATGTTAGAGTATGTGCTTAACATGCATAAGGCACTGGGTTTGGTCCCCACCACCACCAACACACACATACACACACACACACACACACACACACACAAGTATGGCATAATGGATCCCCTGAGATCATCCCCTATCTTCGACAGCTATCAGCTTTCTGCCATTCTTGTATCATCTATCTCCATTAACCTACAGGTTTTTTGTTTGTTTTCTTTTCAAGATGGGATCTTGCTGTATTGCCCAGGCTGGTCTTGAACTCATGGGCTCAGCAAACTGATCCTCCTCTCTCAGCCTCCTGAGTAGCTGGAACTACAGTCATGTACCACCATACCTAGCTCCTAGCTTGTTTTTCTTGTTTGCTGGAATATTTTAGAGTATATCTGACTACTTTAAATATATTTTTCTAACAGGTAAAAATTTTTAAAAACCGTTACAATACCATTATTATAGCCAAAAAATAATAGTAATTTATTATTATCATCTAATATTCATGTTCCATTATCTCAAACATGTCCTTTATAGTGTTTTTTTTTTTCAATCAGGATCTAAATAAAATCTACAAATTGTATATGGCTAGTATATCTCTTCAGACTATTTTGGTTATAACAGTTCTCTCTTATTTTTATTTATTATTTAGTTATTTATTTTGGTTTCAGGGTGTTTAACCATTAAGCAACATCCCCAGCTCTTGTTTATTTTGAGAGAGTCTTAAAAAATTACTAAGGACTATGCTAAATTGCTAAGGCTGACCTCAGACTTGTGATCCTTCTCCCTCAGTTGTCCCAGTCACAGGGATTACAGGTGTGCACCACCACACACAGCTCTCTTTCTCTTTTAAATGCCAACTTTGGTTGAAGACTAGATCATTTGGTCTGTAAATTTCTCACATTCTGGATTTGGCTGATTGTATCTACACAATGTTGTTTTTCTTGTTCCTCTAACCTCCATATTTTTTATAAACTAGTAGTTAGATATAGAAGCTTGATTAGGTGTAGGTTTAACAAGAATATTCATAAACAGTGGCATGTGCTTCTTATTGCATCACATTTTGAGGAATATGATATGTGGGTGCCCCATGTTTAGTGATATTAAAGTTATTCAGTGGGTTCTGTTGCTGTAAGATGATCTATTTAGAGCTCTCTGTGAACACACCACTTATAGCTTCAGTGACCATTAATGATTGTTGCTTGATTGGACCAGGAAACAGGATCAAGTACTATTTACCTGACTCATAATTTCTCATTTTGCAAGATAATATGTGCTTATCTAATTAGCCACTGCAGTTACTTTCAAATAGAAGAATTATAGTTTTGAAGCTAGTTAATGGTTTTTAAAAATCAAACAACATTGGGCACAGTGGTGCCCACCT